TGGATGGATGTTTAGGAGAGCGTCAGGTCTAACACTACACCACATTATCAGTTTATAGTTAAACACTTTAGTAATCATCTTATCGTGCCATAGTTCTTCACAGAGACAATAATATACATTTCACTTCCATAACTCAGAATGAAAATGATTCCAATAGCCACCTAGTGACTAGATGAATTGATCTTTGTGTACATTGCTCTCTAACATTAGTGTGGAATGGTCCTCTTTGCTCTTGAATTTATTACACTCACACTCAGTCACAACTGTATAAAAAAAGGATACCTTCAACACTGTGCTTAGAATCTTCAGCCCTAACAAACCATGCCTGGAACCCCCTCTCCCCCACTGCCACAGCTTCTCCCTTTGTATGACCTTAGACAAAGAACATTTTTGCTTTTCAAAAAGCCTTCAACTTGATCTTATAAAATCTAGAAAGACCATGAGCAAAGACCTGGACATCTCTCATTGCAAAATGGAAAACACATTATTTAATATCTTTCTACTTATATCTTACTAACATGTCTATTTGAAGACCAAAAATGCAATTCCCTCGTGTATAGCCATTTTGGAAAAAGCCAAGAAGACCTGGGTATCACTCCTGTAAGATGTTCTAAGACCAAAGACAAGAAGACTGCTTTTATAAACAGAAGGAAGAGAGTTATTCTGTTAGTTTTATCACTACACATCCTATAGCCTTGCACACTTCAACCCCCACTCGAAATCCCCTCTAATGCTTTATTTGCACAAGGAAGACATTGTGGAGTCAAGGATGGATGAATCAAGACTCTGGGGAAAGGAAAGAAATAGGCCTGAGGACAGCAGGATTAAAGGCAAAGAAGGGTTTCTGTTTGGGAACGTCTGTTGGCTCAGAGAAAGGTAAGAAAATCTGTCTTAGCTTCATCGTGAACTGAAGAAGAAGAAAAAAGCAAGGAACCAGATTTCTGGGGCTCTCGTGACTAATACAGCAAAAGTGAAGAGAAAGGGGGAAGGTTGAGTCCAAGTGGTAGATCGGAGATATGGTCCAAGAGGCTCTGTGAAACAGGAGACTAAGGAGTGGAAGCAGTGATGGTGACTGGCTGAAATGGGAGGTTGGTTATGTGTGAGCTCACTCTGCAGAGATGCAGGAAGAGGTAGTGTCCCCAGCGGCATTGCTGTTTCTGGTTGTGTGGTGGTTTGAGTCATAGACTCAACAAGGATGAACACTTTTTTTTAAGGGAAAAAATGTCAAAATGAAAGCATCTTAGTTTTTGAGAAGTTTTTAACCTGGGATCCAAAAATGTGAGCATTCTTGAAAAGCAAAACTTCAAGGCAGAGTCAAAAAGCTTCCTTTGCATGGTTTGCTTTTTCTTCATTTATCATGTATTACACAACTCCAGAATTATAAAGATTAGCTGTGATGTGCGATTTCACCCAAACGAAATGTATCACCTGTCTTCTGAGGTTTGCTATCTCCTGTGTGACTGAAGACACATGGGAGAGTATCTGTACTCTGCTTCTCTAGAACATCCAGTTACCCTACCCTAGAAACTTCTTCTAAATCTCCATATGGCTAGTCATCTGCCAAGCTCCTAATCCTTAGAAAAATGGAGATTGAAATATTCTCCTGCTATTTATAAATGTTTTTCCTTAGACAAAACACCCTTTCAACAGCACTTCCTTATGCATTAGGACATAAAAACACAAGTGCTTGTGTTTTCTAGTGGTTTGACATAAATGAAAGCACCACGTTTTGGGTGTTGTAGCCTTTTGGTCCCAAAGCCATTTATGCCCGTGTTATGACTTGCAGTATTTTCAGCAAACCAACTAAAACTGTGATAGGAATTCATGCAAATAAGCTTAAATTTTGGCTTGTCTTCAAACACTCCATTTCCATAAATATTTTATGCAGGTTTTCATGAGTCTTTTATTTTTGTTAAAAAAAAAAATCCAATGCATTAACCTCATTGTCACAAGTGCACTATTTCAAATATAAAAGAATGAGTATTGCTCACAAACTTGGGGGTGGGAGGTTGTGTCGAGTAGTATATTTTATTATTCAAATTATAGCTATCTTATCTGCTGTATTCTGGTACTGTGAACTGGTAACTCAGAACTGAAAAGGACTTTGTGACTGTAAACTGTTTTTACAGAACATGGCAAAGGGGCATGGGAGAGAAAGCCGGGGAAGGTGAAATCTTAGAGAATACAGATTTTTCTTCAAAGCATGTTTTGAGCATGTTGAGTATAAAGAGAGCCACTTACTTTTCTCAGAAATTTTGCTTTTAAATGGATTGGGCCTCTTGCATTTCAGTACTATGGAAAATATTTTTTTAACTTTTCTTTTTAAAAAGATTTATCTTTTAAATGCATAGAACGAAACTGAATATTCTAGAAGCAGGTCGCCACTTTTCAGTGGTACTTTTGTTTTCTGTTACTTTGTCAAAGGATCTACCCAATGATTAAGTGCGAGAATTTGGGGGATGGCTATTTGGAAACTTTCCAGTTAATTCTGTTTCTTCCACTATACTAATTTTTACCATGTAATGAAATTTTTTCTAAAAATATTTTAAGAGGCAGCGTAATACCAAAAAGCCACAATGGACAGAAGAGGAAGAATTAACTGGTGTGTGACTCTGGTTTGGGCTGGTGTATTATGTAAATGATCTGCCTGCAAGCTTATCTCGAGCGTAGGATGACTGTGTTACCCCACCACTGACCACCTTGACACATTCCGTTTATATTACATTTTCTTTAGGCTTGAAAAAGAACATTGGAGGTTTAAGACCAGCTGCTTCTGTTTAAACCCAACTGTTTCAGAGCTGTAGCCACATAGCCAAGGTCTGATGTCATCTCAAGGCTGGACATAATATATTCTAACTGATCCTAAAAGTATATGCATGCCTCCCCTTCTGTGCATAATTCCCACGATAGACTGTATTTTAGAGATGTGCTCAAAGATACCGTGAAGTTAAAATAAAGAAACCCATACCTTACCCACCATACCATTCCCCCACATTAAATAATTATTTTGGTCCCACTTTCTTCCGATATTTTCATGACTCTTACAAGAATTCAAGGACACACTAAATACTCATGTAAGAATGATAACATTTCTGGTTATACCTACGGAGATGCAGGCTGTCTCGATGTCCTGGACCTATGGTTCTTTCCATCCGTAAATTTCTGTTTCTATATTGGATAAATATGTGTGTATGAAGATAATATATTGATTTAATTAAAAAGCCACAAGGCAAAGCAGAAATATATATAACAGAAGCTGCGGCTTCTACGTGAAGCTTCATGAGGAAGCAGGGAACTGTGTACATAGTTAACTTATTCACACCTAGATGCATGGGGAAACATACACACACACATACACAGAGCACAGAGAAAAATGGCGTGCATTACTGGGTAAGATGGCACATGATTCTGCATGCTTAGTCATAACAAGCACCAACTGCAACAATCCTTCATGAGCATGGCAGCTTGGTTATCTCATGGTCACTGCAGACAATCTTTACAGTGCATCAAAAACATCTCAGTTGGATTTTTTTAATGCTAAGTCCAGCATGACTGGCACCCTCCACCCCCAGCAGGAGCAGCCAATGGAGATTTACTGACCTGTCTCTGCTTCGGCGAGAGGGGAAGGCAGCATTGCAGCCAGCCACCGTGCAGACATGCATCTCTTTTAAGTGAACATTCCTGTAGTGAAGCTTCACACTGTAGGAGCTTTTGAAACTCTTCTTGCACACGTAACAGATTTTGGGGTCTGGGCTAGAACACAGGTCTCCTTCTGGGGAGAACTTCTGAGGGCTGCCATAATTCAGAGATGATGTAAAACTTTCATGCAGGGCTGCCATGCTGGCTCCCCCACCATTGTACAGTCCATACTGGCTCATGTAAAACATGTCGTAAGTGGGATCTGTGAATTCTTCCTTCACCTTGATGACATCCTGGTGAGAGGGCTCACTGTGGTTCTCATCAGGCCTCTCACTGCTCATCAGGACTTTTTCGCTCACTTCACTGTGAATGTGCTCATCCCCTTCCATGGACTCCTCGCCTAGTTTGGGCTCTGAAGACTCAGACTCATTCTCATAGTCCCGCTCAGGTTCTTGGTCCTCGGAAGTCATGCTGTCAGCCCTTCTTATTTCAGTCCTTGAAATGCACCGGGTCCTGCTATGTTTAGAAAAGTCCTTCACAGACATGCCTGGACTCATCTCCTCTTGGGAGTGGCAATGATTGTCATGGCTCACGTCATTGACCACAGCTCCCCCATCGTTGGGGTCATCATCTTCATCATCAAACTCATCAGCGGTATCAATGATCTCCTTCTCAATCTTCACAGGCATGCTGGACTTCCTGGGCTTCTTCTTGGGTGCCAGGTCGGCACTGGGCTCGTGAGTGGCCATCATCACTACTGGTGCTGTGGGCTCAGAGGGTGGTGGGGGGTGCTGCTCTATGGTACCAGTGGCTGGAATGATGGGACTGGTCGGGAGGGAGGTTGGAGGACTCACCATTTCCCCTGGAGTGAGTAAACTTCTATAAAATGGAGGAACTGGCTGTACAGTCTTTAGCCCAGAAAACACCAGCTGGCTAGGCAGAGGATTCTGTAAGACGGGGTCTAGTGGGGGAGTGGTAAAACCCATTGGGGGCCGGCCAGGGCTTGTGAGTGTGAGATTTGATTTTGTACTTGCTATGACGGGGGTGGCAGCTCCTGATGTGGCCCGAATTAAATCTTTGTCTCGGTTATTTCGTAGCATGGGCATGTGGAGGCGAGGATTAGGGTTTGCACTGTGGCGATTCCGGCTTCGGAGGGAGCTAAAGACCATGTTGCAACCTTCGATGGTGCATCGGTGTTTGATCTTCAGGTGAACAGCATTATAATGAATTTTGAGAGTACCTTTGTCATAGAATGTCTTCCCACATGCATTACAAAACACTCTTCCTTTCCTAGAGGCTGAACCCATCCTTCTCATCCGGTGAATCCGGAAGGAGCTTTTTGGGTGTTCAGTTTTGGTCAGATCACTGACTGGGGCAGAATTCTGAATGGGAGATACGCAGGCTGGCTCGGTTTTGGGCTCCACGTTAGTAATGCTGGTCAGGGCATTTCTATTGGGTGTCTGATCATTCTTATAAGGTGTGGGAGATACTTCAGATTCACTGCTCTCATTGTATTCATTCTGGGTGGAAAGGCTTGGTTCCCGCAGCCTTAGTCCCGGTTGCTCTAACAGTAACCCGTTTGGAGGCAATCCTAGCAGTGGGGCCGAGACTGGGTTTATGTACTGGAATGGAAGCAGAAATGCAAGGCTGTTGGGGATGTTTTCGAAGTGATGAATGCTGGAAGGGTTGCTGTTCTCTAGGTGAGCAAGAAGGCTGGGACTCCGGGTGCGATTATTGCTCTCAATGAAAGTCCTTATGTCTGAGTCTGTCTTTGAAGATGGTACAGCTACGGCCTGCCCTTCCTTCTCCTGAATTGCCATCAGCTCCACAATGGACTTGGTTTCTCCAAACCGCAGAAACTGCTGAAGGGTGATGATTTCCTCTTCTCGAGACATGATGGCCCAGCGGTCCAGTACCTTGCCGGCAGCATCCTAGAAGCCACATCAAAGAAACAACAAAGATAAACACAAAAACTTATTGATTGTGCAAAATTATTCAATGCAACTGAAGTGCTCTGCCTGCTCATGAAACACTGAGAGCAACAGCAGAAAACACACAAGCACTGTTCATAAAAGTCAACCTACAAAGCAAACTTTTCTGCCATGCAATTGCAGTAATTAGAGTCACAGAGAAACAGATTTGAGTTTAACGTCAAAGCAAACAAAATGTAGACCACTGGGGCTCTGCGATCTAACATGCCTTCACTACTGCTATTTTAACAACAACGGTCTATACAGAATGCAACTACTTAGCACACATTAGTATAAGACGTGAACTCTTGCTGTGCAACCCAGTAAAAATACAAAAAATGGTACCAGAATCTGTATTAAATAGTGATACCATAGGAATGGATTAAGTACATTTTGTGAAATTTACCTCCTTGACACAAGCAGATGATACTGGCTTCAGCGATGTAAATTCCTTTAAATAGGAGTTATTATTACTTTCTTAATCAAAATGATGAGAAAAGGAGCTTTGCTGTCTATACCTCCATTACTAAATGGTATTTTTCTCTCTTTAATGGCTGTATTTTAGTGTCATTTACTAATAGACAATCTCATAAGGTAGCATTAAGGAAAAACGGTGATTGTACTTTTCCTGAAAATTGATTGTAATCCTAGGCTTCAAAGTTTGAGTTAGACTTTAAGTATTTGACTTTTTATGATCTTGTTATAAGTGACAGTTAATGATATTTAGAAAGTAAACATGTGATGGATTTAGATAGAATAAATGTGTAAAAATGTTTTCTCTTAACATCCTCCTCTGATAGCAAAGGGAGTCCACAGAGAATACACATCAGTAATCACCAGACTATGTGTTGTTAAATATACATTAAAAAGCATTTCACACTTTCATTTTTGCTAGTAACTATGAGATTTGCCTGGAGGTAGGACTTAAAAATCCTGCAATGTAATGTCAGGCAATCCACTTCAGCATGGGCTGGGAGAAATGTATTCAAATGCTTAAATAATGACTCCATCATTTTCTAGAGCACAGCTTCTTCCTAACCAGGTCGGGACACTTCCACAACCTGTACTTGCCTCAACCTGCCTATCAATTTAAGGAAGACTATATGCAAAGTCAACATCACCAGCGGTAAGTATCATCATGTACCTCCTGATATATACTGAGAAGTGTACGTCATCATTTTCTTGTAAAAAAAAAGGGGGGGGGCGCCTGGGTGGCTCAGTGGGTTAAAGCCTCTGCCTTCGGCTCGGGTCATGATCCCAGGGTCCTGGGATCGAGCCCCGCATCGGGCTCTCTGCTCAGCGGGGAGCCTGCTTCCTCCTCTCTCTCTGCCTGCCTCTCTGCCTACTTGTGATCTCTGTCAAATAAATAAATAA